TATTCAGCATATATGAGGCTCTGGGTTTCATCCCTAGCATTAAATAAATAGATAAATAAATAAATAAATAAATAAATAAATAAAATAAAGCAGCAGGGGCTGGAGAGATGGCTCAGTGGTTAAGAGCACTCACTGGCTGCTCTTGCAGAGGACCTGGGTTCAGTTCCCAGCAACCACCTGGTGGCTAACAACCACTCATAACTCCAATTCCAGGGGATCTGACACCTGTTTCTGGCCTCCATGGGCATTGCACACACATGTTGCAGTTGCATGCATGCAGGCAATATATACACATATAATTTAAAAAAAAAAAAAAAGCAGCAAAACAAACCCTTGGTCATTCTACCATGGAATCTTGGCTGGGACTTGAGGACAGCGACGTGAGCGTGAGTGCGCTCACCATTCCCTCATCTGTGCCAGGACGCCCTGCTGCTGTTGCTGCTGCTGCTGCTACTGCCTGGCTGTGGTGCTTGGGGAACAGCAGCTGCAGAGCTGGTTGGTATTTCTCCCATCCAGAACCAGCTTCACAGCACTGGAGGTGCTCTTCCTGAGGGTCAATTCAGTGTTTTCACCCCAGTCTTATTCTTGTCTTTCTTTTTCTCCCCTACATCCAATAGAAAAAGTGATTTTCTCTCAGTTATGGGAGAAGGGAAAGATAGTTCAGGATCAAAGGAGCTCTGCTGCCCAGCTCATAGTCCTGATGGTGTCAATGTGGTGCTAACCTCATTTGTTGAACTGCAGAACTGGGCTTTGTAGTCACTGACTCTGGACACTTCCCACAGCCCTCTTGTTACCTTGCTTGTCCAAAGCCAGGTAGTGAACCCTCTTAACTCACAGTGCCAATCACACAAGAGTTGTTTGTTCGTACACTGAGAGAGAGTTTGTGTAGCTCAGGCTGGCTTTATACTCATTATGCAGCCAAGACTGACCTTGAGCTCCTAATCCTTGTGATGTCAACTCTCAAGTACTGGGATTACAGGTGAGCAACCTCCATGTCTGGTAGTTAAATAACTTGGGTATTTTTTGTTTGTTTGTTTGTTTGTTTGGGGCTTTTGAGATCTTTTGTCTCTGTGATCCACTTAAAAGTGACCCAGGCATGTCTGTATTGACCATCCATCCTCAGTGAGACAGAGCTGGTTTTCAGACATCGCTCCTCAGAGTGTTTAGAGCAGAGGCTGAAAGCCACTTGTCCCAGTACTGTCTCCTTTTCCCTCTGAGCTCAGGGGACGATACTGATTGGTCACCTGACTTTAGCCCCATATGCTATGCCAGAAAGAACAGGTCCCCAGCCTCAGGGTAAAGACAGTGGCCTTGGGGACCACTGCTTTTGTGACAGAGTAATGAAAGGAAAACAGCGTGATGCTGTGTCAGTAGCCTGCAGCAAAACTTCACAAATGAGTTTATTTCTTAAAATTATATTCATATACTTTCAGTATTTGGGGTCTTCTGTTAAATTCTTTTAGATGTCTTTGATGATACCATTTAAAGGATTTTGAATCAGTAAGCTCTCTATATTTGAAATTTTACAACCTCATGTAAAGGGATTGGGGGGCTATGTACTTGGGGTGTTGCTCCTGTAGCGCTAAAGAGCTGGGTCACAGCGTGCTACCAGCTCCACCTACTGTAGCCCCTTGTGCAGCTTTGGAGGAGCTGGGTCAGCTTTTGGTGAATTTTGCTTCCTTTTACAGATTGGAGCCTCTGCCATTTCTACCTTATGATCACCTGTTAGGCATCAGGAAGCAGATACTTTGATGTTCCTCTGTGATCTGCCAAACTGGGGAGTAGGGTGGAGGGGTAATCCTTGTCACAGGAAGGAGACAGGCCCTAGACCCAACTTCCCAAGGACAGTCTGGTCTGGGATTTAGTGCCATTTATTGTTGCTATTTAGTGTGATGTTACTGACACTCAGAACTGCCCCTTCTGATTTTTATTTCATTTCTATTTATTTTATTGAGACAAGGTCTCCCTGTGTAACCCTACCCAAGTTCCCAGCTTGGAACTCAGTATGTAGACCAGGCTGACCTCAAACTAACAGAGAGACCTGCCTTTGCCTCCTGAGTGCTGAAACTAAAGGCGTGTGCCTCCACCCCCAGCAGAGCTGCTCTGAGAGCACCAGTCATCTCACACCTGATGAATGTTACCTGAACAGCAAGGCTCCCAGTGTGTGTGTGCTCTGTAGGCCGTGGATCTCCCTCTTTGCTTTTCTGTAGAGTATAGGCTCTGGGACCCAGAGATTAACTTGGCTTTTGCTTTTGCCTTTCAGTTGACCACAGTCGGATTAAACTACACCAGGAAGAGAATGACTACATCAATGCCAGTTTGATAAAGATGGAGGAAGCCCAGAGAAGCTACATTCTCACCCAGGTAACAGGCTATCACCTGAAGAGTGTTGCTGTATATGCCACAGTTAAGAATTTCATGCCTGGCAGGCGTGGTGGCACATGCCTTTAATCCCAGCACTCAGGAGGCAGAGGCAGGGAGATCTTTGTGTGTTTGTGGACAGCCTTGTCTACATAGGGAGTTCCAGGTCAGCTGGGTTACAAGAAGATCTGTCTTAAAAAAAAAAAAAAAAAAAAAAAAAAATTTCGTGCCCTTTAGAAGTTCAGGCTTCTCAGAAACCAAAAGCCACAAGAAAGGGAGCCCACCCTCAAACTCTCTGTGTGGCACTGCAGCAGTCTTTCCTGGGGTGGCACAGTGGGAACACACTAGTCAGGAGAGCAGTGCTGAGCCCCGGTGGTCTTATGATGGGCAAGAGAGCCAGGCAGGAGAAGGACCTGGACCTATACCACAGAAGGCTGGACCTCAGTCCTTCAGAGGGCAAGCAGTCGGCCTCTGTCCCGAGAGCCATTCGGATTCCTTGCCACAGGCTCATTCTTTGACCTAATAAAAATAATCATTAGAGGACATGAGCAAACATGACATCACTTAGGATTCCTATAGCTCTGGGCATCCTTAAGAAAAAGCATGGTGAGTGTCCTGTAACTCTTCATCATATGTGACCATAAGGGTCTAGAAAGAAGAGAGAAGTTTCTTAATTGATTTTTCTCTGGTCTTAACCTATTACCAGCAGGTAGGTCTAAATAGGCTACATGTTTTCTTACCCTGATTTCCATTTGTCATTCCAGAGCAACTTAGCTTAGGCTGTAGGGTGAATCTCAGCATGGCAGTTTGGCATGCTGCTTGGAGGAAGTTAAACCTGGTGAGACCAGAAACTCGACAGGGGCTGGGCTGGGCTCATCCATCATGGCCCTCTCCTCCCTTTCTGTCTCAAGTCACCAGCCCAGAAACAGAAGATACCTCTCCCCCAAATCGCGGGGCGCATCAGCTGGCTCAGTCCTGGGCACAGAGTTCTCAATGTGTCAGTGCCAGGCCTCCTGGGCCTGGGCCTTGAAACCCCTCTGCCTCTCTGGGTGGGCTGCTGCTGGGCTTCCTAAGGAGGGCGGTGCCTGCTGGTGGGGAGCTGAGGCACAGTAACCTCTAAGGCCCTGCTAGAGAAGTCAGAGCTCTTTGCTCCAGCCATTCATTCATTTAGCTGAGGTAAGGAAGCCCTGGGTATGTGTATCAACTCATGATAGGGAATATGATGTCAAAGTCAAGTTAGCATCAAGAAATGGCCATGGGGGGCTGAAGAGGTAACTCAGTGGTTAAGATCACTGGCTGCTCTTGCAGAGGACTTGGGTTCGGTTCCCAGCAAGGGATCCAATGTCCTCGTCTGGCCTCTGTGGGCACTGCATGCATGAGTGCACTAACATACATGCAGACAAAACACTAATACACATAAAATAAAAAGAAACAAAAAAAGAAAGAAATTGCCTTGGTGAGCTAGAGATGGAGCTGAATGGTAGACCACTTGCCTAGCATGCAAGGCCCTAGGTTCAGTTCCCAGTACGGGCAAAAACAAAAATCCCACTACCAAAAACAGCATTCATTAAAGCCAGGTGTGGTCGCTCATACCTGTGATCTCAGCACTTCAGAAGCTGAGGCAGGAGAATTTCCCTGAATTTCAGGCCAGTGTGGACCAATGCGAGTTCCAGGCCAGCCTGGGCTACAGAGACTCAAGTGTTCTGCCTGTAATTACTTTGGACCTGTGCCACCCTGTCGATCCTGTAAGGTGGCACCATCAAAACAGTCTGACCTCAAGTAGTGTTTCTGATAGGGTGACTGAAACATTTTCCAAGCCACAAAACTCAGAACTTTTCCCACTCATTTTCGGTGTCATGCAGACCACAGCAGTTTTGTCGTAGTTTGCTTTTTTTGTTACAGTGATAAAGCACTGACCAAAACCAGTGTGGGAAGAAAGGGTTTCTTTGGTTTACAGTTCATCATCAGGGAAGCCAGGGCAAGCGTTCAAGACAGGAGCTGAAGCAGAGACCATGGAGCAACACTGCTTATTGGCTTGCTCAGCCTGCTTTTATACATCCCAAACCCACCCCACTCTCCCTTAGGGTGGCACTGCCCACACTGTCTGGGCCTTCCCATAACAACCAGCAGGTCCTCAAATGCCTTACAGACAATGGCCACAGGCCAGTCTGATCTGGGAAATTCTTCAATTGAAGTTCCTTCTTCCCAGGTGACTCTAGTTTGTGTCAAGTTAACAAAATTAAGCTGCATAAGTCGTCCTGTGACAGTCAGACATTGGAGAGAGCAGGGCATCCAGGTTTCACATTGTCCATATGCTCTATCCTTCACCTCCACTGTAGAGGACCTGCCAGGCCTGGGGTAGATCCTTCAGATCCTGAGACCTACTGTGCTTGGGGATAGGGACCATGGCAGGTGAGCTGCAGGATGCAGAGAGCTACAACCGTGGAGGGCTCCTAGAGGGCAGAGGATGAAAGACCTGGGTAGCCATCGGGTGCCCTGGATACCTGCATGCCTCGAGCTGCCTGTCTGTTATCTGAGGCGAAAGAGTCACATGTGCTGTGGCTCTTGTCAGATACCTGCTCACATATTCAGACAGGTAAGGTCCAGGTAGTACATTGCAGTGGTCACTGAATGAGAGGATGCCACAGGCTGGCATGGGGAAGGGGAGAGACAGGACTTAACAGGCAAAGATTTAGATGGAAATAGGTAAGAATTGAGACTGTTCTAGAAAAGGTTCTGGCCTGAAGAGTGAACAGGTCTGGTGTGGAAGACACAGGTGATGCTCTCCTGCAGTGTCCCAGAAGGCCAACAACCAAGATGAGCTCCAAGCATTTAATGTTCATCCATCGCCATCCACCCATGACTAGCTGGGCTCATTGCTTAGCAGGCAGCTGCCATGTCCAGGACCACCTGTGTGGCGGTTTGTGTGCCCGCGTCTCACATTTCTTGGTCCAGGGCTGAAGCCTATCCATGCTTAGACTCACCAGTACTAGTAGTAAGGAGAGAGGCTCACTCTGTATTGAGTGCTTGCTCCATTCCAGGTAGTGTGCTGAGTTCTTTACTGCGGCATTGCTATTTATATAACTTGTGAACAGGTACTGTTTTTAATCAAATGAGATGGATGGGGAAACTGAGGCATAGAGCAGTGAGGTGCCTAGCCTGAAGTCATATATGTTTGGGGCTGGGACTTGAACTGCTAGAATGTCATGGTGGCCCTGCCCGCACCACCTCTCACCTGCACCCGTAGTTTTGTCCCAAATCCCACCTACCTTTAGGCAAGGATCTAGTGCATCCCCTCAGCGGGCCAGCCAGGCCAAGAGAGACAGTCTGCACTTAAGTGCAGAAACAACTTTTCACTGCATGGTGAAATGTGAGGCTGGGTGACTGACCTCTGGTCAGGAAGGGACAGGTCCTGTCCCAGCCTTGGTTGCCACTCTACCTGAGCCTGTGAGCCCTGTCACTGGCTGACTGCCCAGGGTGAGCCCTCAGTACAGTGTGTTTGCATTTCTAGAGTCATGTAGTGTGTAACATGTGTTTGCAGGGACCCTTGCCTAACACATGTGGGCACTTCTGGGAGATGGTGTGGGAGCAGAAGAGCAGGGGCGTGGTCATGCTCAACCGAGTCATGGAGAAAGGGTCGGTAAGTTTGCATCCATTCCCCATAAGCTTGTGCATGTGCGTGCTGCAGTCGGCCTGCATGCCAGTGTACAAAGCTCTCATTCCCCTGAGTTCCTACTTTCTAGTTTCTTACATGACACCTTTCACTTAAAGACAATTAAATCATACGTGGATACACATCTGTTACAACAATCAGGTGAATGCAACCAGGGAGAAGCCCTCTGGAGCCTGGTGCAGGCAATCTGCCTTACCTGCTGTGCCTCCTTGGGACTACCTGTGTATGTGCAGTTGGCTAAACAGAATTGGTCCTAAAAGCAACTTTTTAGTGCATCTTCACCAAGCCTGTCTTGTTGGCTGGTCAGTGTGTCTCCTGTTGACAGCAGAGGTGGCTCTGCAGAATCATGGGAAACACTGGCTTCCAGGTCAGATTTTACCACCAGAGCCTCTGTCAGCACTGGCTGCACTGACGAGTACTGGTGCACATGCTCGGGGTTTGTGGCTCTTCAAGTTCTTGCAACTCTTAATATCATCCCTCAGCCTCTATCCCTTTAGCTGCCCTGCCTCTCAACCTGCTGCCTTCAGTCCCTTCTACCTGATGCTTCCAGAAAGTTCTTGGTACTGAGGTCTTACCACACCACTCACCTCTCAGGATGATCAACTGATGCAGTCTACAGAACCTTGTGGCTGGCCCTGGTTACCTAGCCACCATCTTGCCCACTTCCCAGACTCCAGCTCAGACTTTCTGTTTGTTTCTTGTCCTGTCCTTTGGGCCAAAGGTCTATCACAGTGCCATTGCACTCCACACCCAAGTGTCACCTTACAGCCAGCCCTACTGTCCCTTCCCTGCCCCATTCCTGTGATAGCCACTGAAGACTGGCTTTGAGTGCTACCTGAGGCAGGTGTAGAACAGAGCCAGCAGCCTCTTCCTTCCCCTCTGCAGGCTCAGCTGGCACTTGTGGGCTCCCCATCCAGAGGTTGAGGCCCCTGGAAAAGATGAGCTAACTTACTTATTCAGAAATCACCAGATGTGGTAGGATTTGCCATATGTGCATGTAGGTACATCTGTATGTATGTGATATATGAATGTATGTGTATGTATACACTGCTGGAAGTTCTGATGGCTCCTTGCAGTTAACACAGCTTGCTTTAGCAACTGCTGTTGCATTAGAGGAACGGTGTCTGCTCTGTAGTTGCTTGCCTGTCCCCAGACCTTGCTCTCAGCACCCCAGGCTGGTAAATAGGGCCCAGAGACACTGTGACCACCTTTCCCAAGATTACCAGTGACCATTAAAAGCATAGCTGGTCTGCTCAGTGGTCATTTCCTGTGAAAGTGTGGTCGTGGCCCTCATCTCCTCTATAATTGTTCTGTTCCATGCCAGCTCATGGGGCTGTGTGGAAAGCAATGTGTGCTTTGTGTGGGATGTATACCAGCACCCCAGTGGGGAGGGAAGAATACAGGAATGTGTGGTAGTGCTGACTCCACTCACCTAGTGTCCACTGTGCCCCAGCCCAGCAGAGACCCCTTCACTACACTCTGCCCTTTCTCCTCTGAGACTCATAGGTAGATGCAGCCCTCCTGCCTTTGGCAGACATACCTGGTACCCTTGGGACCTGGTGCTTCCTGGAAACCAGCTATGCCAATGACTGTGTACATTGGACTGGGGTCAGCAGCGGGGCCAGAGTTCTCATTGGTTCAATTTGAAGTTGACCTTAGACTTGTCAACATGGTGTGAGCTGTGTGTGAGGGTAGGACTGTTGTTTGCACACTGGAAGTAAGCTACGTAGTTTAATTTGCCATTCCAGAACACAGCCCACGTCTCTTCTGAAACCTCTATAAGAGTCAGAGTTGGGGTTCAGGTGATTGTAGCCCAGGCTCCTTAGGCTCCACATGGCTATGAACTGTTTACTTGGTCTGTAGTCATTGTCCTTCGGGGTGGAGACAAGCTATCTGTCTCAGAACCTGGGTTCTCCCCAGACTGTCTGGCCCTGAGGACTCTCCAGCATCAGCCTTCATGATGAGAACACATATTCAGCTTGGGATGCCGGAACACTGCACGCCACCTTCCTGTCAAGTTGGCCAAGGAGCCTCAGCGTGAATCTTGGCGATCACGCCCTGCTGTGGCCCCCTCACTTTCCAGTAAAAGTCAGGCTTCTGTTCAGGGCGTCGAGTTGGTGCCACTGACTAACTGGAAGTAGGGATTGCGTGCTCTTTTTTGTTGTTTTGTGTTTAAAACAGAAAGTTCTACGGGAAATGACAGAGCAGAATGGGTTCCTGTAGACGCCTAATTAAATATTAGTTGATGGGCACTTGGCTGTGTGCCAGAATGCCTCTGGGATCGTAGATTTTGCCCAGATTAGAGATCTGTCAGGCTTGGACTGTGCTTGTGACTAGAAGTGAAACTTAGAGCCTGTCCACCCTGCCCTGGGGTGAGGACACCCATCTTCTGTTCTGAACTGGCAGCTGCTTGGTGTTCTCTCTGCTCATGGTGAGCGCCCGCCCTGGCACAGGATCCCGAGCCCACTAGGTCACACTGCCTCTGGGATCTGACAGTCGGATTAAGTGCACCCTTTGAGTCCTTTCGAGGTCTTCCAGTCACCCTCACTCAGGTTCCCTGGGGCCTCAGATAGAGTAGTGCCTGAATCCTGGTGGGTAGAACTGCCCACAGCCGGTTCTGAATCCTGATGGGTATCACATAGAGTAGTGCCTGAATCCTGATGGGTAGAACTGCCCACAGCCAGTTCCGAATCCTGATGGGTATCACATAGAGTAGTGCCTGAATCCTGATGGGTAGAACTGCCCATAGCCAGTTCTGAATCCTGATGAGTATCACGTAGAGTAGTGCCTGAATCCTGATGGGTAGAACTGCCCACAGCCTGACAGGGTGGCCCAGTCAAGGAGCCCATCTTTGCCAGCTGGTCATCGAAGTCGGGAGGTATCTTGGGTTTGGCAGACCAGATCTTTGAAACAGACTTGTGTTGGGCTCTGGAGAAAACCTTCTTGGCTTCTGTACTGGAAATTCCATGCTATGGAATTTCTGTTTTCTCTACATTTGTATTGGTTTTGTTGGGGCAGCTTTGAGCCCCATAAAAGTAAGACCAGAAAGACCCCATGGTTTGCTCCTCAGCATTGGCTCCTCACAGCCCTGGATGATGCCTTGGGACCACAAGCTCCTACAGCCTGGTGTACTCTTGCCCCTCTTTCCCTGTCTCCTACTCTTTTCTGAGTCACTCAGTCTTCAGAACCTCCTCTTCCACGGAGCCTCCTCCAACCTCTTTCTTTCTTCAGCTAGCTGAACATCTCCCTCCTCTGAATGCCCAGGACATGTTCACAGCATCCCCTCCATCGGGAGTGAGCAGCTCTTTTGGCAGACAGGGCCAGTCCTGGAGCGGGTGGCGCGTGTGAGTTCCCAGTGCCCTGTACCACAGAGCCAGTCACTGTGCTTTGTTGGGGAGATCAGAGTATCCTCTGTCTAGGCCCCCTGTCAGACCTTCCTCAGACCCAGCAGTCATTTTTGCCCAGAACAGTCACCTGTAGGCAGGAAGGTCTGGGTACATGGCATAGAAACTTAGTTCAAGAATATGCAACTAAATTTGAACCAGACTTACTTTCTTTAACTTCAGACCAAATCTTTGAGTTTACCTGTTTTAAAGAAAACTGTAATGATCACCATTTGAATCAAGATCATCAAATAGTTTCTGAAGTTATCAAAATAGAACATGGAAGTATTTTTCTGAACTGAACCAAGTCAGAATGAAAGGGTGAGCTGCACTCTAACCACTCCCCTCAACCAAACTGGCTGGTCTGACTGTGGCCCCTCAGCCTGCCAGGGCTCCAGCCCTCTGTCCCATGCCTGTGGGGTTCCCTTACAGGGTCTTTAGTGATGGGTTGCTGCAGAAGGTGTTTGTGAGGGGTACAGCCTCTGTGGTGTGGTTTCACCTCACATCCAGGACCCAAGTGCTGTGCCTTGCTGCTACTGCTGGGTGGGAAGTCTGAGCCTAGGGACTGCTAGGTCATTCCTCCAACCACAATTCCACTAGGACAGGGACTGCACTGATTGGGAAACTCCAAGCCTACAAGCCTCCTATCTCAGATAGCCACTGACTGTGCAGACTAATCCAGTGTTTTTCCTCCCCTAGTTAAAATGTGCCCAGTATTGGCCACAAAAAGAAGAAAAAGAGATGATCTTTGATGACACAAATTTGAAGTTGACATTGATCTCTGAAGACATCAAATCGTATTATACAGTACGACAGTTGGAGTTGGAAAACCTGGCTGTAAGTACGGTGTACACCTAAGTCCTTCCAGGGTGCTTTGACTGCCCCATTCCTTATACCTGACTACTACTGACCACAATGTTCCCAGAAGGTGTGAGCCCTGTGTACAGTGTGACTGCACCCTGGTGAGTGGGGCTTGCTGGCATACTAACCAGTAACTGGTCAGTGAAGGGGCTGGGCACGAATGCCTCCTCCCCAGTGCTTTCTCACCTTTAACCCCCGTTGACCAGTTCGGAGGGAAAGCGTGGTTCTTACCCTAAGAGTGATCTGCGCCTGCCTGTGGGACTGGGGGCTGAAGTGGCACCTGCAAGAGAAATGGCAGTGAGCTTGCACCTTCCCCACAGCCACTGCTGTCTCCACCCACAGTCTCCATCCCAGGGAGAGAGTAGGCCCTGCTGTCCCTGCTTTCCTGGCCAGTGGAAGTTTTCCAGGCCAAGCCTTGGGTTAATTCACTGTAGGAAAAATCATCACACCGGTTGCTTGCTGTCACGAAGAGGAGATCCTGGGGCACGGCAAGGCTTTATGCTAAGGAGCAGTAGAGGGTCCGGCCCATGGCACAGAGGGGTCACTGGAACTGTGATGGAGGAGGCCATGCCAGTCTCAGGCACATTGGAAGGGGTTCACAGCAGCACCAGCCATGTTGTTGTTAAGCACAGCAGAGCCACTGTTGACTGAAATCGTAGCCTACTCTGTCTGACTTCTAGGCTAGAGCCAGGCCACAGCTCCTCATGTCTCTACTTCCTCTCGTTTCAGACTAGGGCTTGCAGGGGTTCTAGAAGGTCACATGTAGGAGGTCAGTAGGCACATGGGATCCTGAGAGCAGAGGGGAGTGAGGTAATAGCAGACCACTGCAGTGGGGCTTGCTGGGCCCTAGGAAAGGGCTGGACCTGCTACATAGTGACAATCGCCTGCCCTCGGGCCCCCCATGGCTCCATGCTCATGGTGAGGCCAGCTCTAGAACTTAAGACAGGCTGCCAGAAGTAGAAAGGAGGGTAAAGCCCCTGCCACAGCTTCACAGAGGGGCCAGGAGTGAGGCTGATGGAGGGAGGAGCCATCGCAGATCAGCAGGAATGCTGCTGGCAGGTGCTGTAGGGTCATGGGGTGCTGGAGGTTGCAGATACTGGAGGGTGTGAGGTATTCAAGGTTGGGGGGGTGCTAGAGGTTGTGAGCTGCTGGATGTTAACAGCATGCTGGAGGGTATGAGGTGCTGGAAGGTGTGTGGCAGACCCTTCCTAATGCTTTCCAGCATTTGCATGTCTGGCTTTTAAGAGTGACCTCTTGGGACTGGAGAGATGCTCAGTGGTTAAGAGCACAGGCTATTCTTACAGAGGCTCAATTCCCAGCATCCACATGGCAGCTAACAACTGTCTACAACTCCAGTTCCAGGGGACCCAACGCCCTCTTCTGACCTCCTCGGGCATACATATGCCATAGGTGCACTTACACACATGCAGGCAATGCACTCATACACAATAATAAATTTTTTTTAACTTTTTAAAAAAACTTTATTGAGCCAGGCATGGTGGCACACACCTTTAATCCCAGCACTTGGGAGGCAGAGGCAGGCAGATCTCTGTGAGTTCGAGGCCAGCCTGGTCTACGTAATGAGTTCCAGACCAGCTGGGGCTACAGAGAGACCCTGTCTCAGAAAGACAAAAAAAAAAAAAAAAAAAAAACTTTATTGAGAATTTCAGACATGCATATAAGGTGTTTTGATCAAATCCATGCCCACTTCCTCCCCTCCAACTCCTCCCATGTCTCCCCATCATATTTTTCTGACAACTTCGTGTACTCTTTCTTTCTTCCTTCCTTCCTTCCCTCCCTCCCTCCTTCCCTCCCTTCCTCCCTTCCTTCCTTCCTTTCTTTTTATGGGCTTTTTGCTACTCTTAACATTACCCATCTCTGAAGAGGTTTAGGGATTAGATGAAAGCTCCCAAATACTTTTGACATTTTTGACCTTTAGAACAGAGTATGTTGCTAAGAGGCCCAAGAACATTTTGACTTTTAGCCAAGAAACTTGAGTACTTTTCTTTGGGGTCTTTTTACCCTAACTGTCTAGCCAATTCCTACCTCCCATTCTTATCACACCATCCTCTGAAGAGGTTACCCAAATTGCCAATAGGGAATCAGGGCACAGACTGCTCTGGCTTCTTCCATTCTGAACAGGGATGCAGAGTGAAACAATTGGGGTACCCCTTCAGTGGGTCTATCTAAAAGACTCCCAAATTACATAACTCTTATCTGTAGGGTGAAAAGAAAGTCCTTGACTGGTGAATAGGAGATGTGAAGGAGAAGTAAGGGCAAGAGTAGTTAGCATTACAAATTCTAGACAGGGAACCAGAAAAAAGAACAGGGCAAATTTCATATGTTTGTGTCAGAGTCCTTTGGAGTTTCTTGATGAGAGCTTCCAAAGGCATCCCTCTATTGGGTTCCTCCTCATTTTCCTTTTGTCTGCCAAGGCTGGACTCAAGAGTGATGGACTCAGGATTTGTTTTCAGGCACTTTGATGGCTGTTGGAGTGGTTAGAATCAGTGTCAGTTCCCTCACAAAGGCTTCTAGATAGCAAGAGAAAACAAATTTATCCATCATTTTAGAACAATAGCGGGTTGTCTCCCTTAGCTACAGGTGGTCACTACAGTATTGGAGACGAAAGTTTGAAGTCTTACTTTTTTAAAAAATGACCTCTGATAAGTTCAGGAGAGCTTATTGAGGGGAACACAATTCAGAGAGAGCACAGAGGTAGTTTTTGTTGCTTAACAGAGCAAGTAAAGGCAGCTCTGAGGGTTTCTTTTGGGTTGGGACTTTTGGGGGGTGGTTTGCTTACTTTCAGACAAAGTCTTACCTGTAACCCAGGCAGGCTTCACACTTAGAATCCACCTTGCCTGGGCAGCACACAGGTTTGACATTGGGGCCTTTCTGGGGCTAGAGCAGAGGAGCCCATGCCCTTCTTAAGGATTAAAAGAAGACTCCTTTCTGTCAGACTTTCTTCTAAACCAGTTTTTGAAATTGTTCGAGACATGCACACACCATCCACCCAACAGAAGTCTTCCGTTTTGTAGGAGGGAAGGGGCTCTGTGAGTTCCCCTAAGATGTGCAAAGGCCTCCTGGCTGTGCATGCTGTGTCTGGTAGCCCCACAGGGGTGGCTATGCATTTCATGTGTATTTCCATGGCAGCAGGGACCATGCTGTGAGCTTGCAGAGCCGGCAGTGCCTTTGTGTCATCGTATCTGGCATGGTGGCTGACATATGGTTGACTTGATACAGAATGGTCTTGTCTCTAAGCTGATCTCTGGCTAGAGCCATTTGCCATCATTTGATCTCCAGGTGCTTAGGCTGTGTCCCAAGCACCCTCACATGTGGCAGGGAGTCCCTGGAGGCTGCTGCTGGCCCTCTGTGGACTCTCCCTGGGCCCATGTTTTAGGAGATGCAATCCTGGCGTCCTCTTGGCATCTTGTTCCTCTGTGCCTTCGGGGTTTAGGATCCCTAATGCCCTCCTGTAAAAGTATTGAACCACAGGGCTAGTGAGATAACTCAGTGCTTGAAGGCACTTGCCACCAATCCTGATAACCTGCATTTAATCCCCAGAATGGTGGAAGGAAAGAACCAACTGCCACAAGTTGTCCTCTGACCTCCACTCATGCACACACATCCCTCCGCACTAAATAAATGTTTAAAGGAAGCTAGACCACCTAGGAAAGAAAGTAGAGCTGAGCACAGCAGCCAAGGCTGTTCTTTCTGCTCCACACACAGGAACAACAGTTCCTGGAAATGCATATGGCCCTGCCAGGCAGAGGAGAGCCAAGGAACCCACAGGCAGGCCAGCCACTGGAGTGATGGCTGAAGCTGCTCATCGGCATCCGCCTCCTCTGTGGCAGTCCTGTCTTTGGAGACTGAGTCAGTTACACTTTTTTTTTCTGAAGTGACTGTCTCCAGAAACACCCCAGTGGTCTTCCTGGCCTCCAGAGCTGTGTCTGCCCCACACAACTCATTATTGGAAGCCTCACCCTTTCTGAGCTTGTGGAGAGTGGCAGTGCAGTGTCACTGTGATTTTGAAGCTGACACAGTTGTGGCCACATACGTAGCCAAAGTTGAAGGAACCGGGAGAAAAGTGGGAGAGATTGTTCCCTGCCAGAGGATAAGGCCATGGAGGAGAAGGCAGCTGGGTCACTCCTCTTTCAGCCCAATGGCAAGAAGTGGCTTGGTGTGTACTTGATCTGCGCTCTCTGTCCAGTTAATCTGCTCAGCATCACCATGGTCATATTCTCTTCAGACTCGGGAAGCCCGGGAGATCCTGCATTTCCACTATACCACGTGGCCTGACTTTGGAGTCCCGGAATCACCAGCCTCGTTCCTGAACTTCCTGTTCAAAGTTCGAGAGTCAGGCTCACTTAGCCCGGAGCATGGCCCCATCGTGGTGCACTGCAGTGCGGGCATCGGCAGGTCGGGGACCTTCTGTCTGGCTGACACCTGCCTTTTGCTGGTGAGGAGGGCTTTGCAAGCCTGGGAAGAGAGGGAATACAACTGAACCCCACCCTGCCAGCCACAGCCCCATCACTGCCTACAGGCTCCTCCTTTAGGCAACACCCAGCTGTAGCCCTTTGCCTTTGGCTCCCAAACAGTGACTCTGCCCTGTCTGGCTTTGTTTGCAGGGTGCTCCCAGTGTCACAAGCACCAGGGAGCCCTAGAATCCCCTTGTCTCCACTCTGACCTCTTTCAGCCCAGGCCTGAAAGGACCCAGGTTTGCTGTTTCCTCCCATTCTCTGGAGTCCCTCCATCGCCCCACCATGACTTTCCTAGGTAGAAGCCACCTTGAACACAGAATGTTGCCTTGCACCACAGCAGGCACCGGCTGACTGGGGTCTCCTTGTTGGCTTTCAGATGGACAAGAGGAAAGACCCTTCTTCTGTGGATATCAAGAAAGTGCTGCTGGAGATGCGCAAGTTCCGCATGGGGCTGATCCAGACAGCCGACCAACTGCGCTTCTCCTACCTGGCTGTGATCGAAGGCGCCAAGTTCATCATGGGTGACTCCTCCGTGCAGGTCTGCCTGTTCTGCCTAGCTCATGCATGCCAGTTTTCAGGCTTGGTTCTTACTGCTGAGGACAGGACCCAGGCCGTGCCACTGAGCTACGTCTGAGCCTTTGTTTTTGTCTCTGAAGGAGACTCCAGTTGAGAAAGGTCAAACAATGTTAGAGATCAGAGGAAATAGCTAGCTGTTGTGTTTAAATAGGTAGAAAGTTGTTAGATGCTAAGTTCCAGTTCTGCCTTTGAAGTGCTCTAAGAGCGAAAGCTCGTTGATAGGGAGAATGGACTTGATTTTCTAAAGATCTAACTTTAGTAGGTGTCTATAATGTCTATAATCCCAGCCCCTTGGTGGTGGAGGCAGGAGGACCAGGAGGAGTTCAAGGCCTGTCTGGGCTATGAAACTCTGCCTCAAAAAAGAAAATAAGTTTACCTTCAAATGTTGGACTGGAGCCGCAGATGCCAAGATGCTGGCTGTGGCTTCATGGTGAGGGGGCAGCAGCTGACTGACTTCTCTTGCTACTCTTTCAAGGATCAGTGGAAGGAGCTTTCCCACGAAGACCTGGAGCCCCCACCTGAACATGTGCCCCCACCTCCTCGACCACCCAAACGTATCCTGGAGCCTCACAATGGGAAATGCAAGGAGTTCTTCTCCAACCACCAGTGGGTGAGGGAAGAGACCTGTGAGGATGAAGACGGCCTGGCCAGAGAAGAAAACAGAGCCCCCTTAGGTGCCCTCTGCAGCGTGGACAGGTAACGGAGGTGCCTGGCTTGTTGGGGTGGAAGGAACCGGCCTCTCAGAAACACATGGAAGCATGGAAAACTGGAGCTGTTTGTGCATGCATGGGAAATGGTACCCTCCACTTGAGCTGCCTCTCCTGGCTGAAGGTGCCCATTGCTTGCCCGCCGCGGTGGGGTTCTAGTGCCCCCTTGTGGTGCTCATCAGATCCAGCTCATGAGGGACTGGGCAGGGACCTTCCCTGCCCCTGCCAGTGCCAGTCTATGGGCTCTGTTGCATTCACTTCCCTACATTGATGTGGGTATTGTTGAGCACCTGCTCATACCTGTGAGGTATTGAGGTAATACTACAGTGTGCCCCAGGGTCTCTGCTGCAGAATATCCTTTTGGGAAAAAGCTAGCCTGCAGGGACTGGCACCATGTGGAGGCTGAAGCCTGCATAGGAGGGAGCCTGCTCCTGAGGTGCTGAGGCAGCTCTTACAGTGTGCAGAGGCATGGCCCCCTTGTGCTCCTGGGAAGGCACAGCAGGCCGTTTACTGGGATTGGGGAAGCCATGCTTCCCCTGCACTGGTATGTGGATCTGGTGCACCAATGGTGGGAGCTGGGAGTTTTTGGCTGTGCTAAAGCACACACACCAGGGGGCTGCTGGCTGATTGATCCTGGCATTAAACCCAGCCCTGGCTTGGGGTGCTGTCCCAAGGTCCCTGGGGGCCGGAGGATGCCAAGCGGGCTGCTGTCACTCTGGCCTTCCCCCAGCAATGCGCTTGTTTCTCACCAGAACGCCTTCATCAGAGCACCTCTGTCCTCTGTTCTTAAGGGAGGTAACCCACCTCTGCCTCTCTCCACAGTATGAGTCAAGACACTGAAGTTAGGAAACGAGTAGTGCGTGGAGGTCTGCGAGGCGCCCAGGCAGCAGTCCCCACCGAGGGAGAGCCAGCCCCACCCGGGGAAGAGGAGAACTCGGTGCACACGTCAGCGCACTGGAAGCCCTTCCTGGTAAACGTGTGCATGGCCACGGTGCTGGCCACTGGCGCATACCTCTGCTACCGGATGTGTTTTCACTGACGGACGTGTTGGCGAGGCGCGCCAGAGGCACTGCCGCGGCCCTGTTACCATTCGGTCTGCGTTAGGATTCGGTCTGCAGAGCGTCTGAGCCCATCTCAGAGGAGCAGCTCACCAGCCCACAGTGGAACTGAAGGGCTGACCAGAGGATGCAGCATCCGCTGTGGTTTGAAGGAGCCCTGTGGTCCCAAGAGTACAGGCGTCTAATCTCAGGGCCTTAACTGTTCAGGAGAAGTAGAGAAAATGCCAAATATGCCGTGCGCTCTCTCACCTCTCTCCCTTTCTTTCTCTGGTTTGTTTGTTTTTGAAAAAAATAGAATTACAACACATTGTTGTTTTTAACCTTTATACAACAGGTTTTTGTTATTTCTGGAAAAAATGATGCTAGGCACTTAGGAAATACTCTTGTACCCTGAGTGGTATAATCAGATTCACAATTTACATTGATTTCCCAGGGAAAGAATCCCAAATTGTCAGAACATAAATGTTCTTGCTTTTGGGGCAGCCTGAGTCTGGATGCCAGGAGCCTGGTGTTGCCCAGGAGCTGCCCTGTTGTGAGGAGAGAAACTGCACAGGCCGGCTCTGCTTGCTCAGGCTGTCCCTGCTGCTTTTCAGTGGCATCTCCACCAGTCCTCCTGTGCTGGCTGCCTTCTCATGCACGGCCTTCACCATCCCATCTCTGTAAAGGGGTTTCCTTGAGGACCCTGTCTCAGGGTCAGGGTCACCACCAGGTGGCTGCCAGCATTCCTCCCGGCAGTTTCCACTTCATTTGGAAAGTAAGTGCCACAGCAAGAGAATGGAACCCCGGGAGACCGAGGGTGGGACTGAGAAGGGGAGGGAGGAGCCTTGGCACCGTGGAAGCCTCCTCGCAGGGCTTCTCCATCCTTTCAAACATTCAACCATCCACCATCTCTAATGCATCAGATTTTTCCTTAGTGGTGATTTTTAGAGCTCTTGGCCAGTGGCTCCCTCAGAGTTGGTGTGACCAGCTCTGAGCTCATTGGAACCATTTGCTTTCATTCTAATTCCTGTTCAACATCGGCATACAGCCTGACCTTCAGCCCTCCCAACCCCCCATCTGCCTACAGAGCCTGTTCCCGCCAGCAAGCAGGCTATAGAGGCGATGAGAGGGAAGGGCTGCCAGCCGGTGGAGAGCAAGCTGAGGAACACATTTCTCCCTGTGCTTCATCCTTCTGCTCCCTTCTCTCTGGTACCAAGTCCACCTCCACTTTGAGGAGAGCAAGGAAGAACAGAGGCAGAGCAGTGGCCCACGCAGGTGTGGCCCCCCAACCCACCTGAGCATCCCAGGGGTGGCGCCCAACATCCCCCTCCATCCACTATTTATTCTTCATGTTTTCCCCCAAAGGCACTGCACTGCATGAGCGTTTCCTTAAATCAATATATAAGCTGTTTTGATGTCAGCCTGGCACCCAGGGCTCCAAGTATAATAACAAATCAGTTCTTGGGCTGAGTTGGGAGCACAGGGATGCTTGACCTGGGGCTGGGGGCAGGAGTTTCGGGTATTGGAAGTGATCTGCAGAACATGGAGCAGTAGTGTGTAAGGGACCGTGGCTATTTATGAAGCCCGGTGGTGTGCAAGAGCCAGGGCCCAGCCTCTCCCCATCTACTAGAACCTGATCCCAGCACCTGCTTTTCCTAGAAAACATGCGAGGTCTCCTGTCTGGGCTCAGTGCCATGTGTTTGATATGAGAAACTTAGATGCCCACTCACTGGACGGCCCCTGTCCAGCTGTCTCTGCATCATCTGACCAGACATGGCTGTTGCAGTGACCACCACTCCTCGCCAGAACAGTGCTGCCTTCCAGTGACAGATACTGGCATCATTCCTGGTGGGACATTCTTGTGACTTCCTGGCCTGGCCTGGCCTGGCACAGCCGGGCCCTTCTGTATCAGACATTCCAAGGGTATGGCCAACCACATTGACACCTCATGCCCTGGACATTAGGCAAGCAGGGTTCCCCCTGGGATCAGCCTTCTCCATTTCCAGTCCATGCTCCTCTGGAGCAGGCCAGGGTTAGAAGTAAGGCAGCTGTGGGAAACACCCTCCTGGACATAGCCTGGGTGACAGTCCTCAGTCAGCCTGCTGCCATTGCTGGCCCAGGTCACCTTGCCCAGAGGTGTGCCACTCTTGAGCCCCATGGGACTGACGGTGCTCATGACTTCCTGCAAGGGAACTTAAGGCCTTCACACCGAGTGGCTGTCAAATAAGAAGTGATGGCAGCTGATGCTTCAAGCTGCCTCTTGCCAGCATTTCACATTTTGCCTTTCACCCAGAGAAGCCAGCGTAGAGCCACTCTGGCAAGGACTGTGGCAGGGACCATGGCAGCCGAGCCCAGGGAGGCATGGCACAGCCAGGGTCCAGGCTGGGAGCAGTTGGTGATGGGCTTGTGTCTGTAGTAGTGGGAGTGTACAGCAGCCTTCTAGACAAATGTCCGGTTAGCCCCATGTCCTCGGGGAGCAGATGGCTCTGGGCCCCATCACCTGTGTTGGAGAGGTAGCAAGCTGCTCTGCTGTATGCCTTAAGCCAATATTTACTCAGCAGGTCATTTTTTTTTTTTTACAATGGCCATGGAATAAACCATTTTTACAATAATAAAATTGAACAACAACAAAATGAGGTGTTTCAATATATCTTCAGTGTGTGTGTGTGTGTGCGCGCGTGTGTGCAGGTGCATGCCTAGGTAGAGGTGTCTCGGGGTTTTCTGTGACCTCACAGAACTGGCAGGCTGCACCGTGTTCTAGCTTGCCGTATCAGCAATGGATTTGCATTTCAGTTGCAACAATAAATTGTTTTTTCTAAAGAACTTGGATGTGAGGCACTTCCCATTTCTTGACCAATGGACCTGAACCAGGACAGACAGCTGTCTGTTTCCACAGACTGGAAGCAGATGTCTGTCCTGCAGGTTAGAGGGCTCTGGGTGTGCATGCCAGTGGCTGGCCAGCCTGCCTTTGCTGCAGTTTGTGGGACACTTAGGGCCTCTACCTGCTCCCACTATTTGGGACTGGAGAGATGGCTCAGCAGGGAAGGGCCTTCCTGTTCTTCAATGTCAGGCAGCTGCCTGTAGCTCCAGCTCCAAGGGATCCACGCCCTTCTCTGGCCTCTGAGGGCACTGTACTCACATGCACATAGCCATAGTCAGACATACACATTTTTTTTAAAAAAGTCAGATCAGGCTCGCACAGTGGCAGACACGGTACAAACCTTCACATCCCTCAGGGATTCACGGCTGCCTGTGGTGTCAACAGCCCACACCACAGAGCGATCGTAACGCCCTGCCACTGCTCCAGTCAAATCTTTCAGGTGTGAAAATGGTATCTAAAGCTTTCAAAGGGAGGCAGAACACCCACATGAAAAGGTGACTAAGTTTATAACTTTGGGACAGAAATCCAATAGGATAAAAGGCTTGAGAGAGCCTGGGATATCCCCAAGGTGTCCAGGGAGGCAGCAGCCATGAACCTTGGAAATCAAGTGTGGGGAGGATCCTGAGGCATCCTGCAGAGACCATTGTCCTGGGCCGCCCCCTGTTGTGTCACAACGTACCCAAGTTAGGAGAGTGCAGAGGGTGGTGGCTTGCGGGGCACAGCAGTGTCTACTTTGGGAACAAAAGTAAAACATGCATTAAGAGTTTTTTAATTGAGATTTCAGGAAATGGACATACGAATAAGGCAAATAAATACCAAGTAAAAGCACAGCACATACCATCCTCAGGAATTCTAAAGGGAGGGTCTGCCACTGACATCCAGAGCCCTCAAATCACAGGGGACTCAGGACGCTGGGCCTTGTTGGTTTGGGGTTTGATTTTAATGCATTTAAACAGGAAGCTCATTGTGTTTGCCCCCAGCAGCCTCAGTGAAATCCTTCACACCAGCTTCTGGAGCAGCTCATTTAACTGCCTGAGGTTGCCATGCATCACAAATTGGATCCCATTCGATTTCCAGGGCCAGAGCAAGTGGTGTTCCTGCCTGGGAGGCTCCGGACTCCTCAGCTGCTTTTCTTTCCTGCTTTTGAACTCAGAATGGAAGGCCCTTGGCTTGCTACTGTGAGGCCAAGCAGGTGCTTGAGCCACAGTTGGGCCTAAGAATCAGGGTTGTAGAAACCCTGGCTTCAGGCCTCCCACCTTCCCTGGCTCAGCAAGGTAGCAGCTAGCTGGCCTGCCAGTCAGCTATCAGCCTGTTAGTGGACCAGGAGCTCTGCCCCTCTGTACAGAGTGGGGGGAGGGGGAGCTCACATTTTATACACTATCTTGAATCCTGTATACATGGCCTCAGCTGCCTGGCCTGGGCCCCTTACTGCATGGACAGCACCAGCTTCCCTGGCTCTGTGCCCAGGGACGGCCAGCTAGGCAAAACAGCACTTGGAGGCCACATAGTCTCCAGGGAACCACACACTATTTCTTCCTGCTCTGGGAATCTGCCACTGTGCCCCTGGGCAGAGTCAGTAACTCAAGCCTCAGGGAGCTGCCTGGCCAGCTCACACTGGTGAGGGAGCAGCAGGTGTTCCCCCACCAAAGCTTGGGCACCATGCAGCTGCACAGCACAGAAGAGAAATGCCAGATTGGAGCTCAGCAGCAGCAGCTTTTTAAAATATCGTGATCTCAACATCTGCCTCCTGAAGGAAGACTTCTCTTTGTTCTGAATGAAGTTTGCCCATCTTCTCGATAGCTAGGCGTCCTTTCTCACCTGAAATGCAGAGATGGTTGTCACTGGGCTGTCACCACCTCTGTACCCTATTTTGCCAGGTGGCCTTAGGACTAAGGCACGTGAACCTTGCTGTCAGCAGAGGGACAGGACAGGAGTGTTTGGGGAATCCCCCTGCTGGCAACTGGGCGGATTAAGCCTGCCTATAGCTGTGGCATCTTCTATGTTGGTGTAGCCCTGCTTTGCCCCTGCCTTTCCACCAAGGGCTGTAAACTGAAGTGTAAGAAGAAAATAAAACCCTTGTTACCAGCCTGCTGTGAAGGCAGCTGTTCTGGGTAGGGGCTGCTAAGCATGAGGGTGACTTATGGCAGGGTCCCTAGTGGTCCCTGCCTGCTGCTGAGAGCCAAGGGTGGCCTCCCCTCAGCCATCTCCACTAGAACTTTGGGACCCCCACTGCTGTACATGACTGCACTTTACCGAATGACAGTGTGGCTTCCCGCGCTGTTGCCCGCACAACTTCCAGGTCAGATTGGCACAGGCTGGCAATCTGCTCAATGCTCTCGATCCCCTATTTGAGGCCAGGAGAACAAGATTCTGTTAGGTAGCCCTGCAGCGTCACCTCCAGTATGGCTTCCAGAGCCTGGCCCTGCCTTTTCTGGAGGCCCCCTGGCTTCTGACACTGCCTCTGTCTGTCAGGAAAGCCTTTCGAAGTGTCCCTCGAGTCTGACACAGGCCGGGAAGCAAGGCTGCTAAAAGACTTGATTATGGACACCTAGCAACAAGCCCTGCTTCTTCCTGGGCCCGGCTACCTCCTGGCTTTCCTCTCTTCCCCTCCAGGCTCCCAGAGAACCAGGGCCTCATTCCCACACAGCTATAGGCAGCACTCTTCCCCAGCACAGCAGGTGCACCTCCACAAGGCCCTCTTGGGTCATCCCAGAACAGCAGGGCCAGTGCATTTTATCGGCACTGGACCAGCTCCCATCTAGTAAGTGGGCAGTGAGGTTATACAATGAAGATTCTTGTGGGGTTCGGTGATGTGTTCCCTCACATCCACAGGAGTGCAAGGGAAGAGAGGAAGTTCAAAAACATTCACGTTCCTTAGCCCCGAAGTAAGGCCTGAGTTGTCCAGCCCAAGGAGGTGGTCCAGAGCCCCATGCGGCTTTTTACAAAAAGCCTCATGCACATAAAAGCTCAGTGGCAGTTATGAGGTTTTGAGACGATCTCACGGTGTGCTCCAGGCTGACCTAGAACTTCAGCTCCTGCTGGACTCGTGGGTGGGTATGTGCTGCCACATCTGTTTTGTTTTGTTTTTTTGTAAATGGATGAAACAACATCTTCTTTGACAGGTGAGGAGGTTAAATTAAGGTGCACATTTATTAGACCCTTCATAGAGAATTTCTTTCTTTCTTTCTTTCTTTTTTTTTCTGTCTTTCTGAGACAGGGTCTCCCTATAGCCCCAGCTGGCCTAGAACTCACTATGTAGACCAGGCTGGCCTTGAACTCACAGAGATCTGCCTGCCTCCTACATGCTAGGTTTAAAGACATGTCACCACCACACCCAGCCATAAAGAACTCTTAACATGTTCCCAGTCTAAGTTATTATTTTGCTGATTTTTTTGGTGTGCATGTGTGTGCAAGTGCACATGTGTGCCCATGCATTTGGAAGCTAGAGGAATCTGAGGTCACTAGGAACACCATGCATCCTGTGTTTTCAGTGAAGATCTCTCAGTGGCCTGGAGCTCACCCATTAGGCTAGGCTAGCTTCCAGCGAGCGCCTGCCAGCGAGCGCCAAGATGCCCCGTCTCTGCCTCCCCAGTGCTGGATTATAAGTGTGTACCACTACACCTGACTTCCTTATGTGAGTTCCAGGACTGAATGCAGGGCCTCATGTTTGTAGGCAAGCTGCACTCAGTTCATTTTTTTTTAAGTTTATTTGCCTAGCAACTGGGGTACATGCCTTTAATCCCAGCACTCAGGAGGCAAAGGTGGGTCTACATAGCAAGTTCCAGGCCAGATGTGGCTACAAGGAGACCCTGTCTCAAAAACAGAAATAAAAAATTTTTATTTTATGTGTGTTTTGCCTGGTGCCAGAAGAGGCCAGAAGAGGGTGTCAGATCCCCTGGAACTGGAGTTATAGACAGTTGTTAGCTACCATGTGTGCTAGGAACCAAGTGGGTCCTTTGTAAGAAGCCAGGGCTCATAACTGCTGAGTCCTCTTTCCAGCCCCTTGGTTCACTTTTTAAGGTACATTTAGTATCAATTTTCAAAGAGCACACACTCCCACAAGCAAAAAGGAAATATATCGAAGGTTGTGGTCACCTCTGCTAAGAGCCAGGGTGACAGGCAACTTTCACGTTTACATTTATGGCTTTTTTCCCATCTGGGAGTCCCGTGGTATCATGACCTCTGCTGTTGGACTTTTAGGGGTCTAGTACCTGCCCCTCTAAAGTTGCTGGGGTACTTTTGCTGGAGGTGGCCCCCCTCCCACCCCAGTGAAAGCATTTTGAAGCTGCTACATCAGCCCTCGCCATAGGTGGCTTCCTGCCAGTCACTAGAGAAGACATGAGGGGCTCACCCTGAGCTGCTGCAGCGCCATGCATGCCGCCCGCTGGAGTTTGGCATCGCTGTCATTCAAGGCATTGGTGTAGAACAGCAGAGCCTAGGGGAAGGGACCGTGAGGACAGATGGGTCAGGACAGGCAAGGTCACCCACCCATTAAGTGCTCCGGGGACCCAAGCTCAGCTCACCCTTCTCTAAGCAAAACTGGGGTGGGGGGAGGGGGCTGTCAATCATGTCAATCAATTGGGTCAGGTGGATCATCCGGAGATGGATTGACTTAGCTCCTAAGACTGAGCCCAGGGCAATAAAGTGATCACTCTGAACAGCGTTCTTCAACTATACTAAAATACTCATTCAGACAAGTCACATGGCCAGCTCAGAATAGCAGAGCACAGGTCATCCTCATGTGGTGGAGGTGGCTGGGCTGCTCCCAGGTCCCTTCCACCCTCAGATCTGGCCATGCCTCCTCAGTTACACACAAGTCCCCAAGTCACTGCACCTCTTTGAACCTAACAGCCCAGTGACAAGCTGGAGCTGGTCATGGAGTTGTGGCCCCCTCTGCAGGAGAGCCCAGCATTGTCACTGTCAAGGAGAGCCCAGGCTAGGGCCAGTGGCCACACCACCCCCAACTGCAGTGATGATGGCCTAAGTACAGAATTGGCACCAAGGGACCTGTGCCCAAAGCTGGCTAAAAGAATGGCTAACTAGGGCTGGACGTGGTGGTGCATGCCTTTAATTCCAGCTCTTGGGAGGCAGAGGGACATTTTATATTCACCTCCTATTTCTAACCCAAAGGAAACAGACTACCAGCACCCCCCAGTTCACAGAGCCTCTCATGCCACAACTGGAGCCTTTCACAATAGTAGTAAAAGACACACACCACCTGTGCCCAGAAACAAAAATAAACGTGAGTCCAGGGAAGCCCGCCAATGCAAATGAATTTTCAGAACCCTAGAAGACAGAAACACCACACCACACCATGTGGTTAGCAAAGGCTAGATAGTGTGGAACAAGCTCTTTAAGAGATGAATTGCCTCCAGAAGGGAGGGGGATGGAAGCTTTGATTAGAGGAAATGCAGGTCACCAGACAGTCACAGATCCATAGAATAGCCAATTCTGGGTTTCCAAACGGATCAAACATCACCTGTTACCAGCTAAGAGAAGTATTAATTGAAAAGAAGTGAGGGCAAGAAAGGGCCAGCAAGATGGCTCAGTGTGTAAAGGTGCCTGAGGCCAAACCTGAGACTGAGTTCAATCCCCCAGAGCCCACATGATGAAGGGAGGAAACTGACTGCTGCAGGTTGTCCTCTGACCTCTAGACTCATGATATGGCAAGCACATGTATGTGAGTACACACATACATACACATGTGCACATGCCCGCGTGCACACACACACAATAAATAATTTTCTTGAAAAAAAACTAAGAAAGACACTGCACAGGTGACTCAGAAAGACCACCCTATGAGCAAGGCTGTGAGCTGGTGCTGGGTATCCCTCACATCACCCTAGTGACCCCAGTTCATGTTCAGCCTCCTTGGAACATCCAAACCCCAAATCTTACAATGAACATAGCCCCTGTCACACTTTTGTACAGGAACACACCCAGCCAGGAGGCACATGTGCACACATGGGCTCTCAACCTCTCTCTCTCTCTCTCTCTCTCTCTCTCTCTCTCTCTCTCTCTCACACACACACACACACACACACACACACACACACACACCCACACACACACACACACACACACACACACACACACACACACCATACCTTCTCCCGGAAGTATCTATCCCTGGCCGCATTGGCCAGGCGTGCACTGGCCGCCCTGCACAACCTGGGAGGCCCATCCAGCTGCAGCAGTGCCCAGGCTTGCAGTGTCTGGGGCAGGGGCTGGAGCTGGCCCAAACGCTTCCCCCGAAGCTTCTTCACAGCCTTGGCTGGGCCTGTACAGTGCAACTCCTCAATTAGTGTAACTGGAAGACAGGGAGTGACAGTGCCATGAGCTTGAGAAGCAGCAGCTCCAGGCGGGAGCAAGGTTCCCCAGCCTCAGAATCAGACGTTTCCACAAAGTGATCAGACACATCCTGAAAATGAACAGAACCGCAGCTCAGTGGGGCATGTGCACCTGTGATCCTAGCACTTGGGAGGCTGAGGCAGGAGGATATTAAGTTCAAGGTCAGCCTGGGCTATGTGGTGAGACCCTAATTCTAGAAACAACAGAAAAACCAAGCCCAAACCTCTAGGGCCTCTGGCCAGCTGGGCCTGCCCCCTCCGCCCCTTTTCTCCAAGGCTGTGCTGGGCTTGGCTTTGCCTCTCCCTGCTTACAGGGCATCCCCTCCTGTTGATTCCCCAGTTAGTGGACTGGAGTCTCTGGGTCCATCTCAATTCTTCTAACAGTCAAAGGGAGAGTTGCTGTGATTCAGAATTGTGACCTGACAGCCAGAGGGGACAAAGGGGCCCCAGGACTCTGCTGTAACCACCAACTCTGCTGCTACCTTCCTTGGTGAGCTGGGCCAGGTGCTTCTCCAGGTCGGTGACGCTCTGCTGTTGCAGGTACCTGTGGAACTGGAACCAGGTGACCGTCTGCTCTTCTGGGAACCCAGCTGTGGGCAGCAGCCCACCACAGCTGACCACCTGCTCCAGAAACCTGCGACACACTGTCAGAGGGAATGTCTGTGAGGGGAAACTGAGGCCTCAGCTGGCCTCTCAATGAGCAGGGCAGTGTCAGGCAAGAGGGACTATGGGGAAGGAAGTCCAGACATTGGGCACCTTAGTGAGGCCCCTTAGAGTCAGCAGAGTCCCCTTTCTGGGCCCCTCTCCACCTGAGAAGTCTGACAGCTGCCAATAAACTTCATTTTCACTTTGTCATCTATTTTCCTGTCTTTTAATTCTTTGATTGATGGAAAGAGCCCAATCAGCCAGCCAGTACTGTGAACCCCATCTCTCAGAGTCCAGCATACACTTGTACTAAGCGGCCTGGAGAGTGGAAGGGACTTCAAATGTCGCCAGTTGGAATGCAACTGTCACCCTCATTGATTTGCTCAACAGAAAAATCTACAGCTGCCAACACCACACCTCGCCTGCACACCCTTCTAACAGTGGCCTGTGACCCTGTTAGGCTCTTCGGGAGGCATAGTTGTGTCCCCAGACAACTGGTGTCAGCACTCACTTAGGGATCCTCAGCCTGCTCCCAGGGCCATGCAAACATGCACAGATATGGAGAGGGCAGCCACAGGGCCCTTCCCTGTGGAGTAGGGAGGTAGGGAGGACACTACCTATTTCCAGCTGGCCCGGGTACTTCCCTCGGACTCGATGCAGGAACATCTTCTTGAGCTGGCTCAGGAGAGTGCTGGCGGGGCAGGCCAGGACTCCACCAGGCTGTGTACAGCTTTTCCACAGTGCCAGCCCGCCCTTCCTTCGAGAAGCCTGGGGAATGACTGAGAGCCGGCAATAGCTGAGCAGCCTGGGTAGGAGCAGCCACAGGCGCCACAGACCTTCCTCCACCAGAACCCAAGGTTGAAGTCAGGGCAAGTGACCAACTTGGGGACCCTCCCTCAGGCCCAAATCCAAGTGACCCAGAAGGAGCAGCCTTGACTCTGAGCACTGTCCCTGGTCCCCATCTGCAGTCCTCACAACACCCCAGTGTCAGCTATGTTGCCAGCTACTCTGATGGACTAGAAACCTGGACTCTCCAAAGCAGGTCCACAGGGGGAGACAGAACAGCACATGCACTTGTGCAAGCTCATGGGGAATCTGCCCATCAGTGGAGGATGGGGGAAGGAAGGGGAAGCCCTGGGTGCCAACACTAGTCACCACCACCTGGTGGTCTGTGGCCAGTGTCACTTACTCTCATCAACGGCTGTGGCCTTGCTGACCTTCTCAAAGTCAAGGTCAGACAGCACCTCTAGGATCTGTTTTTGCTGCACTGCTTCCTCCAGGAGGTAATCCTCAACTATCCTCGACAAATTAGGGGAGGCCAGTTTCTAAAAGCAGCAGAGGTGTACAGGTTAGCCTCATAGGCCCTCTGAGATTGTCCCTCATGCCTCGACTCCCAGCTGCCCACAGCCACACTGTCCCAAAGGTGACCTGGGGACTTCCCCTCCACTAAGCTGAACCCCCAGGGGTCACCTTTGCCCCCAGAAGAGGCCAGCTTGCTGAAAAGTTCAGCCAATCATCACTACAAAGCAGGGAAAGAGGGCTAGGCCCATTGGAACCCCAGGTACAGCTCAGCTTGAAGCCCACCATGGTGGTGTTCAGCTTAAAGGATTAGGCTGTAGCTGGGTCAGTTGGGATAGGGGCTCTGGTAGCTACAGACAGATGACACAGCCACAGCCTCACTTTGGAGCTTGGATATGAACTTTCAGCCCCACCCCAGGCTTTCCCACACCTTCAAGCCCAGTGTCCAACCCCAGCTGAGTCCAGTCACCTGTAGCAAGGCCTTGCAGACTTTGAGGTGGACTGTAAGCAGCAAGTCCAGCTCGGGGGAACCAGCTGTGAGTTCATTGGGTGACACCTTCAGTGATGGCTGAGGGGGTGGGGGACTGTCCTTCCTGAGGGGACAGAGAAGAACTGGGTGACCTTTGGGACCCCTCCCTCCGCAGAGACCAGATCAGAGAGGCCAGTTCCAGGTCCCAGGGGCATGGAAGGGGCTCAACCCAGGAAAAAGGAAGCAAGCTGGCAATCATACAGTTATGGAGGGTGGGGGCTCCTAGAGTGACTTGAGGTTCTGGCCAGTCCCTGTTCTGTGGCTCTGGGCATGTTGCCCTTGGAGCCTTGGTTTTCTCTTCTGTGAAGTGGGTAGGAAACCCTGACTCAGGGTAAGGATGATTGAGTGAACAAGATGCCTGGTATCCAGCCAACAAGGGCAGAGCTGAGCCCCAGTGCGGTCTAACCAGCTCTCCAAAGCTCATGGAGAAGAACTCTGGCTTGGAATCTGTGTCCACCCTATGAGACTACTGTACAGAAGGAAGTGGAAGCTGTGCCCTTCTGTGATGCTGGAGTCTGTGAACAGGTGTGGCCCTGGGCCCCAGCCTGACCAAGGCAGGTGGTATGGGGATAGACAGTGTGACTAGGGCAGGATATGTAGGGACAGATGGTATGACCAGGACAGGAGGTGTGGTGGATGGGGTCAGCTGGTGGTCCAAAGGGGGCTAGAGTGGGCAAGGTGGTTTTAGGGAGCTCGGTCAGTGTAGAAACAGGTAAGGTCAAGGTAGGGGCTTGTTAGGTGCTGCTATTATTGTCAAAGTTTTTATTTATTTATTGTTTATGTTCAGTTTGGGAGTCTTTAACGGCTAAACCATCTCTCCTTGTCAGGTTTTGAAAGAACATTCGGTAGAGCAGGAGGCTAGGGACCTGGGTGGGCCATTATCCCCTCAGTGGCCATGAAGGCCTGCTCTATGGTGACAGTGTCATGGAGGGGGCACCATGCATAATAAAACTACATGTGATTGGGGCCAAGGGATATGAAAGTCCAGAGGGGTCCCCACTGGGGATGCACTCACCCAGTAGCCTGGGAGCCCTCAAACAGGGACAATTCATCGCTGGCAAGGTCGGCATTCAGGAAGGCGAAGCTCTCCAGGATGCAGTCCATCAGGCTCTGTGCAGACACGGGCTCCCGCTGTGCCCCACGGGACTGTGGACAAGTGCCAGGCTGAAGGCTCTGCCACCCAGCACCAGACAGGATGCTGCTGGGGCCTCATCACTGGCATCCAGGTCACAGCCTCACATACCAATCCCAGCATGAGCCTGTGGTCCCATGGACGTGCCTGGGGTGCAGTACTTCTGGTGCTAACCCAAGTGGCCGAGACACCATGAAGATTACAGGGGAGCTAGATTTGAAAGACTCATCTAAGTTCCCAACACCCATGGGACAAACAGGGAGAGACACCCAGGTGTGTCAGATGTACAAGGCAGGGCTCCCCACAAGAAGGTGCCACTCTGTGCAGCTGACACCTGCCCTATGGGGGACGAGAGACCAGCCCTGCTGCCCAATGGCACAAAGGCTCGCTTCTAAGCAAGTCCAGAAACCTGTTTTCCTCTCAGGGGTTCAGAAGCTATAGGAGAGTCGGCCTGTGGGAGCCACCTCCTGCCACTGCACAAGTCACTGGAGCCTCCCATGGCAGCCTTGCTCCTGGAGATGCTTATTTTCTCCTCTCCAACCCCAGATTGACTGCAGGGCTGTGCTTCCTCCCATACCCAGCACACCAGGCCTGTGTCACACTGACCACCCCCAAAATAGCCCAACAGAGGTGCTGGGTAAAGATGAACCTACGACAGAAATCCTTGAACAATAAGAAAATAATAAGCTTGATTGTAAAGGTTTTACTTCAATTGAAACAAAGCTCCACAAGCACACGTGTGCACGTATGCACACGGGACACAGTTGGTTCATGTTATTTGAGGTAGTTGTGTCAGCAAACAGATGAAATTAGCAAACCTGACCCGTGGTGCCTGGCTAACCCTGGGTTAGGTTCCCTTGAACTCCCAGGCTTTGTGTTGGCCTTTGATCAGCCAACCAGTAGAAACGTGTGTGCACTTAAAGATGCCGAGCTTTTCTTTGTGTGTGTGTTCATGTGTAAGGGGGTGCCATGCACATGCGTGGTGTGTGGAGGCCAGAGGACAACCTCAGGGGTCATTCCTTAGGAGCTGTCCTTGGTTTTAGTTTTGTTTTTTCTTTTTTCTTTGGTCTTTTTTTTGAGACAGGGTCTCCCTGTAGCCCCAGCTGGCCTGGAACTCACTATGTAGACCAGGCTGGCCTTGAACTCACAGAGATCCACCTGCCTCTGCCTCCCAAGTGCTGGGATTAAAGGCATGCGCCACCACACCCCACTAGTTTTGAGACAGGGTGTCTTACTAATTAGGCTAGTCTGGCTGGTCGGCCAGTGAGCTCCTGGGACCCTTTTGTCTACACCTCCCCAGTACTGGGGTTACAAGTGCATACCAACATGCCTGGCTTTTTATGCAAGTTCTGGGGATTGAACTTCTCCTTGTGTGGCAAGCACGTTACTGGCTGGGCCATCTCCCCAGACCTTGAAGACAATTGATTTCATAGATATTGACACATTACCCTTGAACTCCCATCTAACACGAACTTTCTCCATTGGACACATCAAGGCAAGAAGGCACCACCTCAGCCTGGAAGGTGCACACTGGACAACCTTCCAGTTTTGGTTTTTGTCACTACAACCTCCCCTCCCCCAAATGATAGCCAAAGAGCCTGTGTGCTGATCCCAGGGTTCCACATAACTCTTAGCAAGGAAATGAATTCCAAAAGAGATGTGTGAGCGCACGCCTTTAATCCCAGCTATCAGGAGGCAGAGGCAAGTCTGATCTATATAGTAAGTTCCAGGCCAGCTGGGGCTACAGTGGGACCCTGTCACAAAAAACCAACCAACCAAAGAAACAAACAAAAGAGCTGTGTGAGGGAGAGGATCTCCTGTGTGTGTGTGTGTGTGTGTGTGTGTGTGTGTGTGTCTATGTATATATCTGTGTCTGTGTGTCTATGTATAGATTTGTGTGTTTCTGTACCTGTGTGTGTCTATATGTTTGTGTGTCTTTGTGTGTGTCTGTGTATCTGTGTGTACATACACATCTACATGTGTGTAAGAGTCTGGAGAGATGGCTCAGCATTTGAGTACTTGCTGCTCTTGCAGAGGACTCAAATTTGGTTCCCAGCACTCCAGAGGATCCAATGCCCTCTTCTGGCCTCTTGGACACCTGAACACACATGCACATACATACATGCAGACATATACCTATACATAAAAAATAAAATAGAGCCAGGCATGGTGGCACACACCTGTAGTCCCAGCACTTGGGAGGCAGAGGCAGGCAGATCTCTGTGAGTTCAAGCCCAGCCTGGTCTACATAGTGAGAGGTTTCCTGTAAGCATAAAATGTCTTTAAAAAAGGGTTTGGCGAGATGGCTCAGCAGTTAAGAACATTGGTTGTTCTTGCAGAAAACCCGGGTTTGAATCCCAGCATCCACATGGCCGCTAACAACTGTCTGTAACTCCAGTCCCAGGGGATCTGACAGCCTCTTCTGACCTCCACCGGCATTGCATAACATGGGTGCACTTACCTACATGCAGGCAATACATGCATACACATAAAAATAATAAATAAAATTTTAAAAAATAAAATAACAAATAAAAATCTTTAAATGTGTGTAAATGAGCCAGGCAAGGTAGCACACACATATAATCTCAGCCTTCTAAGGCTGAGGCAGGAGAATTTCAAGTTCAAGGTCAGCCTGGGCCTCTTAGCAAAACTGAACTCCTTTCTCAAAAGGCACACAAAGTATATAAAAGGGTATGTCAATGATTTCTCTTTCAAAAGTCAAACTGAAAACAGGGCGTGCAGTTATTTTTATTGTTCTTGGTTATATTGTTGAAAGAGAGAGGATTCTGTCGATGTTTTAAATTGTTGCATTATCACAGGATGCTTATGCAAAGTGGATACGGTTTTTCAATACAGAAAAATGAAAGAAGTGTGTGCTTGCTGATTCAAATTGTTCCACATGTAAACACTGAAAAAGTACAAAAAGAAGTGACATTCTTCCTCAAATTCTTTTCTTGACGTGCTCAGGCAGGTCCTTTTAAAGGTGAAAAGCAGTGGAGGTTTTTCCAAGATATTAGATATAAAATGAGAAATGGGAATTTCACCTGTGCTGACGTGGGACGAGGTCAGGGTGGGAATAAGATGGAACTATAATATTTAGCCGGGTGTGGTGGCGCACGCCTTTAATCCCAGCACTTGGGAGGCAGAAGCAGGTGGATCTTTGTGAGTTTGAAGCCAGCCTGGTCTACATAGCAAGTTCCAGGACAGCTGGAGCGACAGGGAGACCTGTCTCAAAAAGAAAAAAAGAAGAAAAAAGTGAAGCAGTTCAGAGTGCAGAGCAAAAGTGAGTCTTACATAAAAGAGTGGGCTCAGCAGCGGAAGTAAAAGCGTGGTGTGCGGTCTACAGTGGGCTCAGCAGCGGAAGTAAAAGCATGCGTGTGCGGTCTACATTTTATTTTATGTATTTAAAAATGTAAACAAAAAAGAATACTCTGTCCAGGCCAGTGGCTCCAGTAGCCACTGCTGTTGAAGCCTGCTGACCTGCAAAGGAGAAGGCTCTCGGTGGCGTAGATGAGGCTGGTTGTGGCTACAGGCTTTCCACAAACTTGGCTCTGGCTCCAAATTCTTAATCCAAAACTGCAGCACCCATCACCCACACATGTCAGAAGATTCTTGGGGGAACCAGGCTCTGACTGGACATGGAGCAAGTGACCCTCTGTAAGCTCCCGCCTGCCCTTGGTACCTTCCTCCCAAGCCTTGACAAGTGAGGAAACTGAGGCTGAGAGAGACTCTGCCCACCCAGGTCACATAGGGGTGAGGCTGGGATGCTAGTGTGGGCTGACTGATCCCTGTGCCTGCTCCCAGGCCTCAGACCATCAGCAAAACAGAGCTGCTGTCCATTGCGGGGTGGGCATACCTTCAGCCGGTCCCTGAGGCTGAGGACCTGGTATTCCAGCTCCCGGAGCTGGGGTTGCATGGGGCTTGCAGACCTCAGCAACTCCAGCACCTCCTGCAGGGGGCCCTCCACTCCGTCCCCCACATCTCCTTCCTCCTGGCCCTTCCGGCTTGTTGGCACCACACAGCTGTGGACTGGGGTGACCAGCAGGGGGGCCGGGCTCTCTCCTCCCAAGTCTCTCCAGCCAGGCTGCTCCACAAGCGTGCCCCCTGCAGGGTGAGCCAGGCCTGGCAGCAGGCCCAGGGGCAGGGGCCCCTCCTGGGTCTCCTCTTCTATGCAGGCTGTGGGGCCAGCAGGCATAGGCAGGAACCCCACATCTGAGGTGGAAGCAGATGTGCTGGTCTCAGTGTCTCGAGGGTCCTCAGAGCTAAAGGAGTCCATCTCCAGCAGCTCCTGGCTTCGGCTCCGCAGGCTGGGGCCCTGCAGCTCACTGTTGGTCAGGTAGCTGAGGATGGAGGTGGCCCTTGGCCGGCCCAGTAGCAAAGTGTGCTGTACCGGCTGCTGCAGGACAGACTGGAAAGAGGATACAAGAACCAGTCAGCAGCCACCCCAGGAACTGTGCCCAGACCCCTAGAGAGGCTCTCTCTGCAGTCCCCTGCATGGCGAAAGAAGGTGCAAGAACGCGCGCCAGCACCCCCCCGGGGACCGCGCCCACGCCCCGAGGAGGGTTGCCCCTGGGGGCCCCCGCGGGGGGGGGGGGGGGGGGGTTCTGCCAAGGAGACTGGCATCTCAGAGGTGCTGAAAACACCCTGTCAGTCCTCTCACTCATACCCTCAAGCTTCATCCTCAATGTTTCACCCTCATGTTCCTGCCCCAGGACCTTTGCACTGATTGTGCTCTCTGCTTGGAACTACCTTGCACACATGCCCCTACCAACACCATCATAGGAGCCCATCCCTGGATACCCCCTAGATGCCCAGTAGTCCCCTCCTCATCTGCTCTGTCCCAGGGTTCTCCCACCCTTCAGAGCATCTTTGGAGTTCCCTGACCTGGACAATGTCACCTGGGGACCCTCCTCACCTGACTAGAGCCCAGCAGAGTTATGGATGAGCAACATGAACCAGTGAGGGCCCTGATTTATACCCTGTGTTCCCTAAGCTGCTGCAGGGCCTCCTATCACCTCATTGGCTCTCAGCACACCCTGTAAGGGTGGCACTGTCTAGCCAGGACAGTCCTCTGAGGAACACAGACCATACATACCTGCCCCTCAGCAAAGGGACCCTTGTGATTTGCTGGAGGCCCACTTTTTCTCACCAGAAGACTTTTAAACACTTAGCAGTTAGTAACTCATTTAACCTTACCACAACCATACCATGCTGTTAATCCCATTACTCTGATACAGGAACTGAAGTCCAGAGAGGCTAATTGTCTGCCTCAGGTCACACAGCAGGTGGCAGGCACAGCAGAACTTGAACTACATGGTTTTTAACTGGTACTCTGGGCCCCAGCAGCCAGATGAGAAAAGTCCTGGTAGCACTGTCCAGGTGCTGAGGCTGCTCTCCCAACTGCTATCCTACTCTGAAGAATAACGAGCTTCCTCCAGATGCCCAGAGCTCCTGGACTGAGGAGTAACTTCCTGAATTAAACACTCAATGCTGCGACATCCAATTCTGGAACATTGCAAATATTTCAACAGAAAGATTACCACTGATAGCTGAGCATGGTGGTACATGCCTTTAATCCCCGTACTTGGGATGCAGAGGCAGGTGGATCTCTTTGAGGCTAGCCTGGTCTACATCAGGAGTTCCAGAGTTCCAGACCAGCCAGGCTTACATAGTGACACCTACCCGGTCTCAAAAAGAAAGAGGAGAGAGAAAGAGAGAGAGAGAGAGAGAGAGAGAGAGAGAGAGAGAGAGAGAATAAATAAGCCAAGAAATTTCCCTCCACAAGTTGCTCACATGAAGCCACCCTCCCTACCAACAGAAGGGTGGCCCAGCTTGACCTCACTCTCACTCTGGGCTGGGCAGCACATCTGGCTCTGGTCCCTGTTCTCAAGCTCTGTGTTGAGAAGGGGTCTGGTGTTTCCCCACCTTTGTGGTGGCTGCCATGTGCTGATGTCCACACCTAAGGGGGAGGGACGCTCTGGGACCCAGGACCCTGATTGGGACACAAGCTTAGGAGAAACGTGCCCACTGGAGTTGTTTACTGCTTGCAGTAAGCCATAGCACAACACCAAAACTACCTCTGCATCTTTTGGATAAAAAGGCAGCCGCATGTGGACCAGTGTGTGGAGCAGGTTAAGAAAAGTTCCTGTGGGGCTGGAGAGATGGCTCAGCAGTTAAGATAGCTGCTCTTGCTAAGGACCTGGGTTCTGTACCCAACACCCACATGGTGGCTAACAACCACCTGTAACTCCAGTTCCAGGAGATCTAAGCCCTCTTCTGGCCTCCACGGGCATTGACTAACACGAGTGCACTTAGATACATGTAGGCACTATACTCATACACATAAAATAAAAGGTCCCAGAGCTGGAGAGATGGCTCAGTGGTTAAAAACATTGCTGCTCTTGTAGAAGACCCAGGTTTGAATCCCAGCACCCACATCGTGGCTAACAACCATCCATAACTCCTGTTCCAGGGGATCCGAGACCCTCTTCTGTCCTCCACGGCATTGCATGACACAGGTGCACTTACACACATGCAGGCATAACACTCACACACATAAAATAAAAATAAATAAATAAATGTAAAAAAAATAATAAAATAAAAGGTTTTTGTGACTGAGGGACTGTCCCAAGGACAATACCCAGGAAGGCTGAAGATGTCAATGCACACAGCTGGCAGTATCCCTAGGAGGGATGGGGAGGGTAGTCCTGGCTCTGAGAAGACCCTGATCCCTAGAGTTCAAAGGGAGCAGATTGCTTTCCTATGCAAGGCTCCAGATCACGCTCCTAGAAGCCCTAAATCTTAACGGCAAGGTGGAGGCCATGGACAGGGCTGGGGGAAGGATGCCCCTACACAGCATCACTCCAGGTGTACAGAGCACCGACAGAGGCAGGCCAGCACCACGGAAGACAGCCCTGCAGCCCCAACAGAGGCTGAGCCCCTAGCAGGCCACACCCCACACTGTCCGGCCAGGAGCAGCCTCACTTACCAGGTAGTATCTGTCCCGGAAGGTGGGGGTACTCGGTGGCGTCCAGGTATACAGGGAGCCCTTCCTGCTGCCCACAGAGAACCTGCTCACAGGGCTGGGCGACAGCAGCAGGCTCTCAGAGTCCAAGGGGCTGCAGGGGAGAACAAAGGCCGTCAGGGGCTGACTTCTGTGTGTGAAGGCTCTACTATGTCCTTCCCACAAACCCTCCTGTTGACTGCGGACAGTTCTGTGGCCACATTATTTACACAGGAGGAAATGAAGGTTCCAACATAGTTTGCTTGGGCCAGTGTCACCTCCCATAAGCAAGGACAGAACCCACCCAGCCTCGGTGGAGGAGCCTCAGGCTGAGGAGGCCAGGAGGTAGCATGCTCCTCAGCTGGGGGTGCACTGAGGCCACTCTTACCATGAGAGCCTGGAGGGGGGAATCTATGGCACCTCCTCCTGAGGGCACCTGTGGCCAGCAGGACTCTGGGTCCTGGGAGTAGCCGGTTAGGGTTGTAGTGTGCCTAGCACCTACCACACTAATGCTTGGTGTTGGGGGGTCCCGGGTGATTGAGCTAGACTAGTGTTCTTAGCTCTTCATCCTGCTGCACCTGCTCTGGGAACAGAGAGGGGGTCCCTGGAAACACAAGGGAGCTCTGCTGCTGACAACAAAAGTTCTAGAAACTGTAGTCCTTGAAGGTGGCACAGGGCAGAGCTCTGACTCCAGCACAGGTGGTTCTCCCGAACCTGGGCCTCACAGGTCTGGGGCTCAGAAGAACTCAAGGTGACAGCTCAGCCCTGGACTGGAGGGGACTGGGGACAATCAACAATGGGAGGCCTTCATAAGCAGAGGGGCGCTCCTCTGAGGGACCAAGGGAGAAGGCCCCTGGAACGAGTCCTGGCTCAGCTGGGTGTCACATTCAATGTGTCAAAAGTGACAGAACTCAAGGTCAGGATTCAAAGTCACGGGGCATGGGGGAGGAAGGGACAGGGCTATAGCAAGAGCCAGGCTCGCTTGGCTGAGGGCAGGATATGAGAGGCAGTGAAGGTGGGCAACGACAGAGAAGGCTGTGGAAGAGCTGGCCGGGATGTGCCAGGCCCTTGCCTGGGGGTTGAGGTGACCCTGGGGAGGGCACTGCTGGCACAGTGGCCACTCACTTCCATAGCACCTCCAGCTGCAGTTTGATGGTGCCCAGCTCTGTGACATCCACCACCACGACCTGTGGCCGAGCTGTGAAGAAGTCGATGACATCACACATCACAGAGCCCACCACCATTGAGCTCAGGCCCCGAAGCTCGGTCACCTGGGGACAGGATGTGGCATCTGAGCCTAGCACCCAGTGTGCCAGGCCCCACCCTAGGTCTCACCCCAGGTCCCTGCCTACCTTGATCTCGAGATTCTCGTGCAGTGTGGGCACAAAGGCCTTCTCCTCTTCATCCCAGGTCTGGCTGTCATCCGGCTCAATCCGACCCTTCAGCCTCCACCGCTGACGACCCAGGCGCAGGACCACCTGCAGGTGAGACCCAGGAATGGGTTCAGAGACAGCTTCAGGGGATTGCTCTCTGCCAGTCCCAGGGGTCTCCCTCCCAGAAAAAAGGACAGTCCCTGGCCATACCTCATACTGGTCTCCTGGACAGAGGCGTGCATAGCCCACTAAGCCTGGAACACAGAAATGGATTGGTCTCTTCTCTGCCCCTGCCAAAGGACCACAAGGACCCAGGGGTGCGCTGTGTGCCTGGTAGCACAGGGAGGACAAGAGGTCTCAATTGCTGGGGCTTGGGGAGCATCACAGCAAGCCTGAGAGAGCCTACCACCTGTCCCGAGGGCAACAGTGAGGGCTGGACCTACTGGGATTCTGGCCCACATCCTCATCCCCAGCAGGCTCTCTGAGCCCCCAAGAAGAGCTAACGCCCTGCCCCCTCCTGGCCCTCACCTTTCATCTTGATGTGGAATTCGCCCAGATGAACTTCCAGGGCTCCTTCGATGAGACACATATCCTGCAAGGTCCACAGGAGGCTTAGTCACTCCCAGCCATCCCCAGCCCTGCCCGGGAGCCCAGAGAGGGGACAGAGAGAGGCCTGGGTGACCTTGGCCCACCTCTGTGCACTCGTGCAGGCTGCGGCCCAGCTCCTGCAGGCTCTCTCGGGAGGCACGGCTCTGTGGACCACTGCCAAAGGCACGCTGCATATTGGAGGCACCATCACGAAGGCGCCACTGGATGCAGTAGCCTTCGTAGAGCTCATCCACCTGTAGCAGGTATGAAGGCTGTGGGCCACCCCTGAGGGACAGCTAAGCCTGCCTACATCTACTACATCAGGAACTGTCTGTCCCCCAGCCCACCTCCACTGAATGGGGCCACTCATCTGCCACCCTAGCACCTAGAGGTCACTTACACATACTCCGTGCACAGTAAACATGAGTGGCTATGCCACGTCCCCCCTCCCAGCCTGAGTTCTCAACTGTGAAAGAGAAGGTAGGCTATTACCGGTGCTCACTCCCTGGGCCTGGGGAGAAAGGCAGAGAACCTAAGGGGCTGTCGGCAAGTCTATGCCCCAAGCCTCTAGCTTCCCCTATGGAAGCCCTCTAAGACTGAACAGCAGGCCTATCTGTGTCAACCAAGGAAAAACCCCACAGTTCTGGGGGAACCCTGACACCCCTCTTACCCACCCCAGGGCTTAGCTCCCATTACTCTTCCACTGGTCTATGGCCAAGAGTCACTGCAGCCACCACAGCACCTGCCTTGCTCACAGAAAGGTGTCCAGCTGTCCTGTCCAAGGGTCCCCTTGCTCCTGCTGCCTTCCCCATGACACCCCGTGACACCCAGAGCCACCTACTTTGCTGATGTGGAACTCCATCTTCCGAATGTGCCTCTCCACCAAGCGAGTTTGCTTTCCCCAGAAAAACAAAGGATGTTTTAAAAGAGACCTGGGCCTCCTGCCAGCCCTGTCACTCTCCACTCGGTCACAGCCCTGGGCCACGCAGACCCTCACCAAACCTTGAGGGGGGGCTCACCTTAAGCCTCAGTTTCCCCACTCGTAACATGAGGGGAAGCCCTGGGGTTCTACCCTAGGGCATCCAGGATGAAAGGCCAACTTAAACAGCCTTGTCCAGCCAGGCCAGCCTCAGCCCACCTGAAGACAACACAGGGAAGCCAGAAGTGTGCTTACCTTGTCCAAGTCATAGTAGAAAGCCTGGGGAGTGAAAGGAGGAACAGGGCGTCAGAGGCTTCATCCCAGGGGCATCTGCAAAAGCTAGTACCTGCAGGGAGTCCTGCTTTGTCTTCTCCAGTGGGTAGAATGCTGGCTGCTAACAGTCCCAGAATGATTTAAACACATTCACTGTGGGTGCCAGTTCTAGGTCTGGCATTGTTTCCCAGCTGTGTGTCCCAGGCAAGTTACTCAACCTCTCTGAGCCTCCCTTCCCTCCTATGTAAGATGGTTGAGCCAAAATACACTGTTCCTTCCTAAAGTTGCTCTTGCCAGGCGTTTTGTCACAGCAAAGAGAAAAGCAACAGTCACTCGAGTATCTATGAAGAACAAAGGACGGAGCAGGCCCTCAACACACAGGGCCACCTATCTCAGTATTCAAGAGACAGCACCACTCATGGCCAAGGAGCCAGAAAGTGAGGGACTTGGGCAGGCAGATGGGTCACCCCAAGACCCCACCTTAGCAGTGACACACTCCTATATTCTTCCACGAAGAGACCTTGGCATAGCCAGTGGTCATGGGCAGGCCACGATTCTCACAGAGAGCAGACAGCAAATATTTCAGGCTTGGCAGGCCTGCCAGTGTTGTTAGGATGGCATGCCTCTGCCCTTGTAGAGCCACAGCTGTCATGCAAAGGAAGAGGTGTGGCCACAGACTTCATTTGCATAACAGGCTCTAGGCCCACACAGGTGAGAGTCCCTCTGGGGGTTCTGTGGCGCTGGAGGAGAAAGGATATTCATTGAGATTTCATTTTTACCAGCCAGCAGCTAACGGACAACCTCTGTGAGCTTGTGCTTGTTTAATGGAGAGACATGACTAGGAAGGCAGGGGACAAGGTAAATGGGAAGTTAAAAACAGGCACATGGGTGACCTAGTGAATGCTGGGAAAGACAGAAAGGGAAGAATTACTTTCCCAACTAAGGTCTGTTTCCTATGTGTGCACTTACGTAAAATGTACATGTGAGATCATGAAATTCAAAAAGTTTTATTTATTTTGTGTGCCTAGGATTGGGGATGCAAGAGTTGGTTCTCTCCTTCTACTTATGTGGGTCCTAAAGATCAACCACAGGTCATCAAATACAAAGTATCTTTATGTACTGAGCCATCTTGCTGACTGCAAGGTCATGAAATTCAAACTCCAGTTAAGAAATAAAGTTCCAAGGCTGGAGGATTAAGAAATGAAGTTCTGGGTCTCAGTGGTTAAGAGTACTGACTGCTCTTGCAGACAACCTGGGTTCAGTTCCCAGCACCCACATGGCAGTCAACAACCATCTGTAACTCCAGTTCCAGAGGATCCAACACCTTCTTCTGGCCTCCACGGGCAATTGCAGGCACACAGTGTACTTATGTACCTGCAGGCAAAACAAGCATACACATAAAATAAAAATAAATAAATAAATAAATAAATAAATAAATAAATAAATAATTGTATTTCTTTTTTTATTTTTTATGTATATGCATGTTTTGCCTGCATGTATGTAAGCACACCCCTATCATGCAATGCCTTCAGAGGTCAGAAGAGGGTGTCAAATGCCCTGGAATTAGAGTTAGGATGGTTGTTAGCTGCCTTGTGGATGCTGGGAACTGAACCCAGGTCCTCTGAAAGAGCAGCCTGTGCTCCTAACCACTGAGCCATCTATCCACCCCTCAATTTTTTTTTATTCTTTATTTTTTTTAGAAGAATCATTTCATTACAGCTTTAACATACTCAATAACAACTTCCAGAGCAAAGATACATCTCTTTCAAAAGTGGCTATACAAAGCCCTGTAAGTCGTAAAATTGAATATTTTAACCTTTAAAAAAAGATCTCCATTTCATTTTAGAATATATTGCTCCTTGTAGAAAGACTCATTGTTTTTGCTTCTAACACTGATATGTTGGCTCATGCATCTCTAATCTGTATTCATCTGATTATTACTAGTCATAATCAGTTGCACTTGGACCCTTGGCACCTGTGTATGTCTATGAAGTCATCAGGTGGATTTCAAAGGTGATGTTTATCACCTCTACTAATTAGCATGACGTAAACTTCCATGCTTCCTCCTCAAATATATTTTTTAAAATTTGATTTTTTGTGTGTGTGTTTGTGTAGAACATCCCAAACAATCTTATTCATCTGTATACCCACCCATCTTATTCATCTATACACCCACTTCCCAGATGGCACCCTCCTATAGCCTCCCCCCCCCCACTAGAGCCCTGCTACTGTCTGCTGTGTTGTCAGCACCCCCAGCCATTCCCCAGTACTTGTCCATCTGGTGAATCTATTTAGCCTGTCTAGAGGTCTTTGTTTTAGGAAGGTCAGCTGTTCCTCATCTAGCAGCAATCAGTTGTCAATATTCTTTTAGATAAGATTGGGGTCTGCTGTTCATTTTCCCAGTTCTATGCTGGGTTACTATCTGGGAGTCCCTTTGGTCACCCTGGCCAACAATTCAAAAGAGGGTATCTCCTTTCTGGCATTGTTTCTTGTTATGTAGCCTTTAGTTATACATATGGAGTCTTAAAAAATTATATTGGCCCCTTCAATCTTTGGTTATACTTTCCTTTTGGGTGTTTAAGGCCATACAATTGGCCTAGATTAAAAAAAAATATTTTTACTCTTAAGGTCTTTTGAGGATCTGTTCCTCAGGGGTCACATGGGCTTGGGAGGAGCCCCTGGCTCCTTTTACAAGTTCTGACTATGTGAAGATAAGTCAAATGTTCTGCTTGACTATGGCTGGCTTCACTTGGAAACATGGAGGAAATGATTCCTCTGTGTTGACCCTCCTCTTTGTAGACTGGACACTGGTTCAAGTCCATCTTGTGGGGTCTCCTCAGCCTCCTTGATCAAGAAGACAGGTGACACACCACAGTTACAGGACATTTTGAGAGATGCTCATAGTCCCCTGGAACTAGTCCACCTAAGAGGGCAAGGAGCAAAAACTGTCCTTTATGTCCCTCTGACCAAATTAGTATAGGCCTCAAAGTATGTCTGTTAAACATCTAAGAAGGTTAGTTGCACCAGTCTGGTACTTTTAATTATCATGTGCCATGTGGCTAAAGGTTGGGCAAAGACCAGTTGTTCTCAGATAAACCTTGCCTAGACATATATTTCTTGATCTGGTATGTATAATTTGTCAGTAGGTTGTTGGACTAATATGGTTCCCTCTGGTTTTTAAAACTAGCTAGGCATTGTTTATCTCTCACATTGTCTCACCCCTCCATCATGGTTTTCCCTCTTAAGTTGCCCCTATTTTCCCCCTTTCTCCCTTAATAATACCCTTCTCTTATGGTCTTACCTCTCTTGAGCTCCTTCTTTCCCTTTATCCCCTAGGTTCCTTGTATACCCTTCCTTCCCCCCTCCCTTAGACTAACCCAATTTTTATCCATATCTCCCTTATTAAGGCCTGTTTCCTACTGTTCTTCTCTTTCAGGTTCTTTCTTTTCCTTTACCTCCCTGGTTCCTTTCCATTATCCTGGTTCCTGTAGTTATGTCTGGATACATACTCACTTATCAGGGCTTGGTTCTAGGATCCACATGTGAGGGAGAACATATGTCGATTTTTTTTCTGAGTCTGTTACTTCACTTAGTATAAGTTTCTAGTTCCATCCAAGTACCTGAAAATTTCATGATTTCTTCTTTCTTTACAGCCCCTCAAAAATTTTTTTTAAAAAGGAATGGAGCAGCAGGCCAGTAAGATGGCTCAGCAGATAAAGGAACTTGCCATTAAGCCTAAGGAACCCACATGGTGGAAGGAGAGAATAGATTCCTTTAAGTTGTCCTCTAACCTCCATACATGCACTGTATCAGACAAGCATTCACCCTCCTCTCCCACATAAATAAAAATAAATCTTAAATGGGCTGGATGTGGTGGCACACACCTTTAATCCCAGCACTCAGGAGACAGAAGCAGGCAGATCAACTGTGAGTTCAAGGCCAGCCTGGTCTACATAGTGAGTTCCAGGCCAGCTGGGGCTACAAGGAAACCCTATCTCCAAAAGACAAAAAAAAAAAAAGGAAAGAAAGAAAGAAAAAAAGAAAGAAATGGATGGGGCTGGAGATGTTCAGAGCACTGGCTGCTCTTGCAGAGGACATAGATTCGAATCCCTGGACCCGCATGGTAGCTAATGACTCCAGTTCCAGACGATCTGATGCCCTCTTTGGCCTCCATTGGTATTGCATGCCATGGGTGCAATTACATGCAAACATAACATTCATACACATAAAATAAAATAAAAGTTTTTTAAAAGTTTTAAAAAATATTTTATTTATTTAGCCTTTTTTTTTTTTTTTTTGTCTTTTTGCTGACCTGGAACTCACTATGTAGACCAGGCTGGCCTCGAACTCACAAAGATCCACCTGCCTCTGCCTCCCAAGTGCTGGGATTAAAGGCATACGCCACCTTGCCCTGCTCTTATTTTGCCTTTTTGAGACAGGGTCTCCTTGTAGTCCCAGCCATCCTGGAACTACGTAGACCAGTCTGGCCTCAAACTCACAAAGATCTGCCTACCTCTGCCTCCCAAGTGCTGGGATTAAAGGCGTGTGCTACCACGCCCAGCACACACACACACACACACACACATATATATATATATAATTTTTTTATTTATTTTTATTTTATGTGCTGGCATGTATTGCCTGTGTGTAGGTAAGCGCACCTGTGTTGTGCGATGCCCACGGAGAACAGAAGAGGCTGTTAGATCCCCTGGAACTGGAGTTAGGACAGTTGTTAGCTGCCATGTGGGTGTTGGGATTCAAACCCAGGTCTTCTGCAAGAACAACCAGTTTTCTTAACTGCTGAGTCACCTCTCCAGCCCCTATTATTATTATTTTTTATGTGTATCAGTGTACTGCATGCATGCAAGTGCACCTGTGCCATGCAATACCTGAGGAAGACAGAAGAGGGAGTTGGGTCCCCTGGAACTGGAATTATGGATGGTTATTAGCCCCCATGTGGGTGCTAGGATTAGAACCTGGGTCTTCTGTAAGAACAGCCAGTGCTCTAAATACTGAGCCATCTCTCCAGCCCCTTAAAAGTTTTTCTAGGGCTGGGTGTGGTGGCACACACTTTTAATCCCAGCACTTGGGAGGCAGAGGCAGGCAGATCTCTGTGAGTTTGAAGCCAGCCT